TGTGTGTGTGTGTGTGTGTGTGTGTGTGTGTGTGTGTGTGTGTGTGTGTGTGTGTGTGTGTGTGTGTGTGTGTGTGTGTGTGTGTGCCTGATTGCACCTTTTGTTTTGAGCAAATGTGGCTATGAAAATACAACATTTGACATGCATTCTTGGTCGAAACTGTCTTTCTCTGCTTCTCTGAACTGTCCCTATAAGAAAGCTTAAGCTCCTACACTGTTGGGGATGACCATTATTTGGGAGGTCAAATGGATAAGAGGAAATAAAGCGTGACTGACGTTGTGTTTTACAGTCCAAACATGCCTGAGAGAGCAGTTAGGCTAGCCAGCCTCAGGCTATGTATTCATGTATAATATATCTACTACCAAATGCATTCTCAAGAATGGATTTTCTCTCTAACAATTTGAAGGTGAATTTCAGTGAATCACAAAGGAACACCATTATATTTTAGTCTTCAAATAACCATTTGTTTCAGTAATTGTTGGGAAAGAAACTTGAGCATTTATGAGCCATTTAAATGGAGAATGCATAACATTACAGCTGATTTAGCTCAGATACAATATTTGTCTCCAGACTTTTTAGAATATGCTCGTAGTGTTAATTAATTCAGGAGGGGGTAAAAGTGATCCTTGATTGTGTTTGCCAGACTGTAGCTATAGCAACTGCATGCTTTTGTAGTCAGGGTATATCTGAAATGTTTTGCTCAAGCCACAGTTCAATAGTTCTGGTTTCCTCATGCTTATTTATGTCACTTTGTCAACATTATTGTAAGGAAAAAAAGAAAGAAATCTTTCAGTAATAGGTATTACAGCATGTAGTCTCTTAATGCAGTGTTTCTGAGCCCAGTGTCATCTGGAAACCCTTAAACTCAGAGTATACAACTCTGTTCTTGCATTTACATAAAAAATAATGCTTCCAAGTTATACCGAGATAAGAGAATTGCATCAGAAACTCAGATCAATATTTGGTTGACTTCAAAATAGCCAATACAAAAACAATACAGTGCAACACCTTGTCTTATGTGTCATATCAAGATGTCTTTTCATTTCAGATTAACATTCTGTCCTTTTTATAAATCAGGTGTTTTTATTGTTGTTGCCAACTGCAACAATCTACCCTAGAAAATGTGTTCCATGTTTCCTTTCACTGACTACTAAGTTCACATAAAACAACAAAAGGTCCCTGAACAGTTTGTCATGTCTTATGATTGATATTGGTTGAATGTGAACACAAAAGCTGCATTTCTAAGTGATGGTTGCAGGAGTGAGAAAGACAATGCATACATGATGAACCATATGACATCAGACAAATAAGATATATCCAATCATTATTTATAAGTACTCTTACCGTGGCTTGTCCCTGAGTGAAGCTATCTCTCATTTTAGAACCCTGTGCATTATTTAGCGGTGCTGCCAATGGTTTGGTTTTGAATTAAACAAGACTTGTAAGGCTGTTGTCACTGCTTTTTCAATCTTGAAGTATTATGGATAACTTGCATGTATACCATCTAATACAAAACATACTATTATTAAAAACTCATTATAACTCTTTAACCTTAAAGGAAATACCAAGTTATGTGATACAACTGCATCAAGCTTTAAACTGCAGCTGTTTTGGGTATTTTTTGCTTATTCTGATAGTGATAGAGAGAGGGACCCCCCATAATATTATATATAAGTATATATATAATAAGCGTCTTTGGGTTCAAGAAAAGCGCTATAGAAATATAATTTATTATTATTATTATATGAAGTTAGCGCTAGCAGTCAGTTAGCTTAGCTGCGCCTAAAAGAGTGGTAACCGCGTTTTTAAAAAGCTGCCATCGATCTGTCCAACAAAATCTGCCAAAAGCTTACTAACAACTCAATATAACAAATATAATAATAATGCCAAACTGTTGCTCCAATGCTTTTAATTCTAACTCAAATGATTGGCTACTCTCTATTCAATTAATTAAACTCTTCACTATCCACTTTGGCACATTTGCTGAGCATCCTACATTTAGATTGTTAGCACTACACATTGGGCTGATGGGAATTTTATTAGGCATGCAGGGAGAATTGATCATAAATCAAAGTATTGGGAAAAAAAACTTCATCCTGACATTGGCAACCCAAGATGTAAGCTGCTGATGCAAGAACACACAGAAAATAAATGTTTACTTTCAAATTGAAACAAAAAGCTTAACGAACATACCTGCAAAATAGAAAATATTTCCGAAGGTAGCAAATCTAAATCTAAAGGTCTACGTTGAATTGGCATGCAGACCTTGTTCAACATATGACTTGTACTGTGCAATGTCTTTTTCCCAATATGGGATGCTTTAAAAAAAAAACACGAAGCATAATTTACCACTTTTTAATTGAAGCAGTGTCTTTGTAGTCTAATTGTTGGAGCTATATATATATATATATATATATATCTTTATATTATTTAATAGTTTAACATTTATTTTCTTGCTGTTTATAGTGTTTATTATTATTTATTTATATGTATTCTTAGTTAGCGTCATAAGTTAAAGTAGTTTCTATGCTTTTATTTTGAAGGCATGTTTTGGGCACTGGGTGATTAGAGCACCTGGTGTAATTGTATATATTGGGGACAGGTGGAAGTGGGAGCCAGAGCACTAGTAGGCAAACGGTTTTTTACCAGGGTGTTTACACAAGGGAAAGCCATAGGAAAGGCTTAAGGAAAGAGATATAGGAAACCTGTTCATTGTATTTTGTTATAGGAATAAAATGCACAACGGAGAATCTTGTCTGGACCTGGATCATTGCCCTGCGTAAGATCCGCTAACTAGTGCCTCAGTGGCTGTTAAGTTAACTATCTGTTTTAGTTCTATAGGATTTTGGCCGCTACACTAATGTTGACATAGACTTCATTAGTGGACCATGAATACCAAGCATTATCCTCTGCATGTGAGGATCCTGTTCGTAATGAGTCTTTTGTCATTGAGTATGACCTGATCTTACAATTTCCTGCCATCAGTTACATTCTTTCCCTTTGCTCCATAAAGCATTAGACCTTAGGGAACTATGCTCACATGACTGACAGGGAGATATTTTCCCTGGCTTTTATAAAGGGATTACCTGAAACCCCCTATGGCTCTGTGACTCTAGGATTACTCAGCCATCTTTTCTTTAACTTGCTCCAATAAATAAGATGCACATTGTTAGCTTGCCATGTTCTGCCCTTCTCTCTCTGAATCTCTGCACTGTGACTGTCACATCATATCTGTCACTGGGTTCATGACCGTGCCTATGCCTGATTCCCAATGCAGCAGTGTGGGCTTTCACCTATGTGCCTTAAAGATGCATAACGTTAATCACAATGCCATTTTGCTTAATTTGACTCAATGCTCTTAGTTGGATTAATGTCCCTGTGAATGAAGCGGGCTGATTGCAGCTGCTGCAGAGCACTACTTTAAAATGCATCTGTATCAGTACACATATTATGGTTTGTAGCTGAGAGCACACTGTGAGCACAGCCCAGTTCAAACCAACTGCATTATGCAGATTTGTTGTTTGCGCACATAAATAATTTGTACCAATCTAAGTGTTAAGCCTACAAAAGGTAGCATCACACTTGCAGTATGGTTCAAATATACTTGAGTTAGCATGCTTTGTTGCTCTAGGACACTGATTTGATCACATCCAAATGTCTGCACTGTGTTTCTTTTAAACAACTTCCTCTTTCTTTATCTTTGCTTGTAAATTTGATTACGCGGATGCCCTGTCTCGTGCATGTCTTTTTATCAGGGCAAAATAAAGATGGCATCAGTTAATACAGCTTTTCAATTACAAGCTGTGATCCAGTTCATCTCTCTTGGGGCCGACAGGGCATGTAACCATTCTTAAGCTTTTTTCACAATCAATTTAGTTTATTCAAAACCATAGGTTCACAGTCAGAAACAAAAGCCCTGATAATGAATATGTGAGCCATTCAATGTTCAAATTCAGATGTGTCAAAGACATGTTGGTTCAGCTCATTGATGATAATGCAGGCCTTTTTCATAGCATGTGATGGCAGGAATAGCACACGTGTAACCTCATTAACAACATTAATTATGGTTGCATTGCATTTAGGTGTTCCAGTTCCAGCGCTCTGTTAGCATGTACACCGGCTCACTGCCACGGCTTTCTGGGACCATCAAATGGAGCAGCGCCAGCGTTATGGAGTTGCACCTTTTCTGCCATCACAAATCTAAAATGGTTGATTGGAACTAAGGTGTATTTCAGAGGCCATTCATAAAACAAGGATTTTCAACTGGTCTGATACATTTTACACATTAAACACAAAGCTTTTTATATTATATTACAATCTACGGAAAAAAAAGTCATAGACAGAAAGAAAACATTTGTTTTGTCTTTGCTCATGCTATGTTAGCTTGGGCACTTTTCATTCATGCTGTAAGCATTTACCTAATGTTTATGTTTAGATTTATAAAATAACTGAAATGAAATCAGATTTGCAGCTCTGATAGATGTCAGCAATGTCACTGATTGACTTTTATGTTTTATGTTTGATATTTGCAAACTTTACTATCAAACTTAAAAGCAAGTTTTCCTAATTGATTCAGCATATTTTGATTAACACTCAATCATTCAATTGCTAAAGATTAATCAAGCAGCCTTGGCAATAGATCTGTCTCCATGACAACTGAGCTCCATCTACAACTTGAGAAACTGTGATGAATTTCGGAATTTCCTTCCTGACATTTTATTGACATTTATTTATTGACATTTATTGACATTTTATTGATTGATCAAATAATTGAGAAAACGGAAATAGCCCTTAATTGCAGCCCTTTATTTAGACTGCCCTACATACCAAACGGTGCACCATGTGTGAGGCTGCAGAGCATACTTTGGAAGTGCAGCATGTAAACACAGTAAACACCACCTTCAGTGCAAACATGTAAACATACCCAAAGCGTCACACAGTACGAGGACTTACCCTGCATACTATTATCAAATCTCTCTCTTCCCTCTCTCCCTCCCTCAGCAGAAGGAGCATCCTATAGGCTAATCAGCTGGTAGTTTCAATCCAGCCTCAGCATCCTCCCCCTCCCAGAAGAGGAAAGCCGACAGCCGGTGTGTGCGAGGTGTTTTTGTCCGCTATACCATGGTGGAAATTACGGATATGGTGTGCCTTCTCGTCCCGCTGGTGATGTTCGCTGGGTCTACCATGCAGACCGAGGTGAAGAGCGGCAAAGAGGCGGAAAAAACGGGGAATTTCATGGAAGACGAGCAGTGGCTGTCCACCATTTCACAGTACAGCCGCAAGATCAAGCACTGGAATCGCTTCAGAGACGTAAGTCCTCCGTGTTGATTGAGAGATGCGCGGTAATGCGGTATACGATGCGCTGATGGGCAAACACGCACGGTCATTTGGAAACAGTGATAATAGTTAGGGCACACTTTCTCGCCCGGGTGATACAAACTTGGGGCTGTTTTTAGGATATGGCAACAAACACACACTTTAGAAAAAATGTTTAAATATTGGAAACAATTCAAAAATAATCACTGTTATAATAAGATACACATTTATGGAATATAGTGGACTATGAATGTGAAACTGCACATTGTATTTTGTTTACAGTGTTATTTATATAATTATTTGAAAAATGTCCTTTCAATTTCGTTCTATTTTGTGCTTGTTTTTTTAACAAATAGCTCAAAAATACATTGTATATTTTATGTGAATTTAATATATTTGCTCATAACGCCAAACACAGACTTGATGTTTCACTTTTCTGATCCCCTCCTCAAAATTCAGGATGTCTCAACTGATATTTTTGTCAAGAGCTTCCACGATAGCTTTACCTGGAAACATCTAAATCCAAACGGAAAACACAAACTAGACTCTATATAGGCTATACTCTTCACATAGTAGGCCTACAGCAGATGGTTTCCTTTATTAACCAGGCAAATTATGTTGCACAGCAGGAACATTAAAGACCTATTCCATCATACTGCCCTTAATACTGCCCTCAGATGTGTTTCCTTTCCAGACGTGTCCCGGGAGATTTGACAAACAAGAGAATTAAGCAATTAGAGCAGAGGGGCGGGGATTGATTGATGTGCACATTCACCTACCGAACAGACTGAACTGGGTTGCAGGGATTGATTAAAGCCTGCAGGCTATACACAGTGATCTATTGCTGTGTCTGTGAATGTATGGACTTAATATTGTCTCCAGGCTCTGTGAAATTATTAATAATGATCCCAGCAGGATTTGGACAATAGTGCAGTTGGATAATGTTCCATATAACTTCCGTTAATTGGGTTTTAATTGATCCAGGGTGGTTACTAGCACGTGATAAGTATCATTATTGGATTTGAAATGTGAGCGGTTGGCTTGAGCACGAACACGTGAGAACAATGCCCTATCTTTACAGGAGGAAAAGCCTTTATAAGTAGTAACCATAGCAGAGAAGCTGCGCAGTCATTTTTGATCCACACTCATACGCCTCCTTATGGACGTCCCTGAAGAAAAGGTGAAATTGGCAGCCGCCCCTCCTGGATATCAGATGACTTTGGCTGTGATTACTTCAGGAGAATATCCTCGGGAACTGTACTTAGGGAAGTAATGAAATTGTGTGCATGGAAAGATTAAGTCAGAATTATTGTGGGATTATAACTCGCTGGATGCTGCTCTATATTTGCACAGCTTACATCCAAAACTGTTAGTAAGAGCAGCAACTTCACTCTGAATTTGGCACATCATGATTGGCTGTGAAAAACAAAACACACAACCAGAATGTGTGGAGCATCCCAAGATATAAAGGCTTCTTCTTGACATTGCTCAAGGCGTTACCATCTAGTATAAAGATGTCACATGCTCTGCTTTCCCTTTCCCCCCCTCAATTGAACATCAAAGCTGCTGTGAAACACCAACAGATCCAGTTCCACAGTGTCTCTTTCATGACCATTATTCCCAGAGGTGACTGTCTTATGTGCATGTGCATTTGCAAGCCTCCAGTGCATAAGTGTGTGTTGGCTTCCACACTCCCGCAAGTGCACAGGCGTGATTCTTTTCAAGGCTGTTGCATCTGCGCGTGCTTTTGCTAGCGTGCTAAAGGGCAGCAGTGCTGGTGTCTCTGGTGATGATGACAGGAGAAACATCAGAGAAGCGAAACCACTGAAAGTCCCTGGGGAATCGTCAATGGAAACCACTTTGGTTCCAGCTTGCTGCCGTAGCAACAGCAGTCTCTGCGTTATGGTGTTGAAAGGGAGCATGTATCACTAAAGGTTTGATAACTCTATCCCCCCTCACCAGTCCTGCTTTGGGTGCAAGGAATAAGTGGAAACATCCTATCGGGATCTTTTCGTATCGTTCAAATTTCTTCAAGCTAAACACCATTACTGCAACCACCTATTTCCTTGATGATTCTTAATGAGAGCTGCTGAATATTGAATATAATGAACATTTAAATGGTGTTGCTTCATGTTGGTCTTTGAGCAAAACAAAAAATCAGAACTAGAAAATGAGCAGTTCGGTCTCTGAGAAATGTATAGTTGATGTATAAAGGACTGCCAATTAGCCTACACAGTTATAGGTATTCAGATTATATAAATTGATGCTGACTTGCACAGTCCTCTGAGACCAGAATGTTGAATATTAATCCGACACTGGAAAGCAATAATCAAAGCTGCAAAAGCATGAAAGACTTAACTCTTTCATTCTCCCATTTGCATGTGCGCAAACACAAACAGATGCACACAAACCCTCACACACGCATAAACACACACAATACATAGGCTGCAGAACGCTCTCTGTAAATATTTCATATTTATACTCTTATGAAATGTAAAAGCCAAATCTTGATGAGTGTCTTTCACTTTCAGTAAAAATAGCTCCCACACTTCAATTTAATCTATTTCTCAGGAAGACAAGGCGATTAGATTTAACAGTTACAGTCAACAAATAATAGAATGGGATACCTTCAATCCTTTAATCTGACAGGGGCACTCAATATTTCATTTCACTAATGCACCAAATCCAGGAAAAGAGAGAATACAGGGGAACGGGTAAAGGCAGTCAATGCAGAATTGTTATTTAAACCCAAAGACCTGGTGTTATTTGCTCCATTCTTTTAAGTCATTTGGCAGCCTAAGTTGCAATTATAATGTGTGCAATTTAGATTTTTTTAATTCATTTATTATCTTTGTGTTATACAACCCGAAAGATATAACTAATAATAACCTTTGTTATAATGAGAAAGTTATATAAGGGATAATTACATGCTGGAATCATACAGTAGAAAGAAATTGCAGATTTCATAAAGAACATCCATCATGTTCTGACTTTTATTTTAAGATGCTGAATAAAATGTGTTCCTTGCACAGAAACTCAAACTGAGACTCAATTATAGGGACAATTACATGTCAAGGGTTCATCTCACCAGTCAAAGCAATGTCTATTTTCATTTCAGTGTGAAATGAAATGGTTGGAGACTACTGCATTGTATTCATAGCGGATCTAATTTGTAATGTTTACCAAAGGCAAATCAACAACAGATTCTATTCTATTTTTGTAAAAATGATGCTGTCCATGAAATTGCCAAGCCATAAAATTGGTCTGGTATATTTTATTTCTGTTGATTTAGGATAAACTCAGATATGTGCCTGAAAATGGATGATGATTACGACTTAGCTCACCCAGCATGAGGCAGTTTATTGTTGGCATCCATTACGCATGCCTGTATGAACATGGCAGAAAGGGATCAGACTTGTGATGTGATTTTTGGGATAATATTTTCTCTGCTTTCCATCCAGTGTTGTTTGTGCCTGGTAAATCCTTATCTTAAAAACACATGCCTCTCCACTCAGGCAGCATTGGACCACCCAGTACCAATCCTGCCAGAACCTGTTATCATTAATTTCATTTTTAAGAAACAGCACCTGCAAAAAAAGCATTAGATTCCTTCATGATGCCACTTGATAAATATGCAAAACAGGGGGAGCAGTCAATCTCGCAATCTGGCAAGAACATTTGAAAATAGATTGACCTTAACAATCTCTACTTAGCTCCCTGAATTTTGACCAGCACAATTTTAACACTTTGATTAATGCTCCTTTTTATCATTTCACTATATACAAAACATAATTGTGGGTAATGACTTCTGTAACACCGGAGCCAAATACTCCATTAAACACTATCCAGATGAACAGTAGTGTCATCACCAACCCTGCGCTTAGTCCTGCTTTTCTATCACGGAGCAGCTCAACTCCATACTCCCCAATGTTAGAATAGACTGCCACTGATGCATTAAAGCTATGCATGAAGATAACAGCTTGTCAAAAATCCATTAGTCATACTTTGTTCTGTCACGAGTTGTTCCTTATCATACTCCAGATTCTTTATGAGGCTGCAAACGTCCAGAACTGTGTTGGTGATGCAGATGGATCTCGATATCTTCCAACAGTTTTTGGATGGCGCGTTTGTTCAGGGTTTGGACTGGCGACTGGTGCGCTGTGGGGTGCCTTGGTCGGCTACCAGAGGCCTAGGTGGGCTGTAATTGAGTAGAAGAAGAAAAAAGAAACAGCCTTTCATCATGCCCTGCTTGCAAAGCCACAGCTGCTCTCCACTGCAGTACAATAGCCACAGCTGAAGGGCACAGGTGCAGCAGAGAGACAGGGAGAGGGTTTCCTAAGTATTGAAGAAAGGATATGATTATTACATTTTTTTGTACATTCATTTGTAAACACAATTTAATAAATGTAACATCATCCAAAACTCTCCAAACTGCAGAAAACAGACACACGTTTTGTTAAGCATTCTTTTGTTCAACATGTTTCCTTGCAGATGCTAAAAATCTCTGCACTCTCGGAGTGACCTGCATCTGTGTTGGCTAAACCTGGGACTCGGTATGCCAAATAGGTTGTTTGTTGCAGAGAAAAGCCAACATCCAGAAATCTGCCTGAAATAAGCTCTTTGTGGGATATTTCCAAGTCCTCCTGAAGTTAAAAACCTGTACTGTATGTACAGTAATTAGCCCGGCAGTACAAGTCCCAAAATAGTGTAAATGATGTGACAGCGTGATGTTTGTATTCAGATAGGCCTACAAAAAGGACATTTAGAATCTCAATAGTTTATGTCTCATGATTAACTTTCATTTGAAAATGCACTGCGCCTCTTAAATTATCACGAAACAGTGGCTTTGCGATTCCAGAAGGCAGGTTCAATAAATCAAATGTTTTCTTTTAAAATGAACAATAACTCTAAGTGGTAGTGGCTGTCCCTACAGTAAATGCCACCCAAGTGTTATTACCTTTGGGCTCGAGCCAGACTGAGTCACAGCCAGTGTT